GCACATTGTTTGGCCACTTCTGACAAGTTGTCGGCATTACGACCGGTGATCACCACTTGAGCCCCATATCGGGCGAACTCGACAGCAGTGACGGCGCCGATACCACCGCTCGAACCGGTGATCAGCACTACTTTATCCGAGAAATTTTTTGATGTCGACATTATGTTAAGCAAATAAAATTGATTTAAAGTAAATCAAATAGTTTATAACGAAATCAATTACTTCAAGAAGTTTATATACCAATAAATATACAGTTAATTCAGTTAATTGTTTAGTACAATAGTTATGATACAATTGTTTTCATACACTTAAAATGCACTAATATTTGGTTAAATTTATATATTGAAATTAACTGTTGGGCCAAACAAAATGATTGATTAAAATAAAATATTTTTTATGTGAATAAAATAATCTATAACAAGTTAATTTAAAGCACTAAATTAATATACAGTAGATTGTTTAGTATTATTTTCAAACACTTAAAATGCACTAAACATCTTATACTTTAAATTACCTATAGTTTTAGTTCAACGACAAAACTTTTGGACGTTGAATAATGATATGTTACACCATATGTAACATTCAGTACATAGATAAGCCGCACCAACCAAGGTCATATAATGCATTAGTATCTTACATTGCATTATATTGCATCTTATATTAGATATTATATTACTGTATGTTATAACAATCTTGCCAAAAACAAAAAGCTGAACGCCTAGGTTAATAATTGATTTATACAATATTGTATACAAATTGTATGCCTCATACACTGTATGGAGAGAATAAACTTATTAGGTTATAGCGAATCCAGTGATAGATTATGCAAATAAAATAATTCCCTTTAACCCTATATTGTAAACTGTATTCTAATGATTGTATTGATTCAAGTGATTCTGTAGATGCGAGGGGAGGAGGAGGGGTGGCGTCACCATCTTATAGACCGGAATTTTTATATTAAATTGTGATTAAAAAGCGGACATTAAATAATTTTCAATTAAATTAAAAGTATTTTTAATTCTTCAAAACATGTGTCAATCAATTTATAAATGAATTGTGGAGTTAATTCTTACAAATATTTTCTCATAAATTATTTCCTTTCCTTAAAGTGGGATAAAAATAGACTGAAAATATTTTTAAAAGTTAAACCATCAGTGATCGCGATTAAAATGTCAACATAACCATTGCATGCATAATATGGATTTTTTAATGGACCGTAATTTAAT